CCTTAGTACCGAGCTTCATGATTTGTGGGTACCAAGTTGGCTATGCACATTCTTTTTGTTGATGTGTGTGTAAAATCTCAAGCTATTGGAGTGTTCTATGAACCTGATGCAGCACACACTAAGCAGAAATGCAGCATACAGTCAGAAAGCACTACATTCAACCCAAAGAAAATCAACTAAAGATATAAGAGATGGATAGGCTTCCTCATTAAATAAAGAAAACAAGAACACATCATAGAACAATCAAAGAGACCTCAATAAAGAAAGTTCAACAAGAAACTATGCACACTTTGAAAATTCCAATTACCATCATTTGGATTGGTAAGAAAGTTTTTTTTTTAACTATACCAAATTCACCTAATGAGCATAATCTTGAAACGGATATAGCTAATGATTAAGCCATCTCATTAAATTAACATTACGGTAAACTTTCCCTCATTCTGTCGTGTCGAGGTTCTCTTAAATATTATGGTCACACTATTAAATATATATTTTTAAATAAAGAACGATAAAGGTGTCTCCCTATCCATCTATAGTAAGATAACAAATAATAGAAAAAGGAAATATTGATTTGTAAATCTTGTACTTTTGGCTAAATGATGTTTGAGTTGAATACAATAATCTTTTAAAAGAAGAATCTGCACTCAAAGGAAAGTAAACCGAAAGTGTTTGAAGTCAGATGTGCACTTTTGAAAATTCCAATTACCATCATTTGGATTGGTAAGAAAGTTTTTTTTTTAACTATACCAAATTCACCCAATGAGCATAATCTTGAAACGGATATAGCTAATGATTAAGCCATCTTGGATATATATTTCATCACATTAAATTAATATTACGGTAAAGTTTCCCTCATTCTGTCGAGGTTCTCTTAAATATTATGGTCACACTATTAAATATATATTTTTAAATAAAGAACTATAAAGGTGTCTCCCTATCCATCTATAGTAAGATAACAAATAATAGAAAAAGGAAATATTGATTTGTAAATCTTGTACTTTTGGCTAAATGATGTTTGAGTTGAATACAATAATCTTTTAAAAGAAGAATCTGCACTCAAAGGAAAGTAAACCGAAAGTGTTTGAAGTCAGATGTGCACAGATGTCGAATGTGTCCCCAACCCCACCATTGGTGATATGGGGGAAGCTTATTACTGTTTTGGATTGGAAAGTCAAGACGCACAGGAGTTTCGAATTTGGCAATGGAGTAAGTTGGGTCTGCAAGCATATAAGTTTTGAATGGACCACTCAAGCGATTTTGTGTGTGCCCCATTTGTCCAAAGACAAAAATTTCCTTTCAACTTTAGTATAACCCTTCTTCTTTTCTTTATTATGTGTGCCCCTATTCTTTTTGTAGCTTTTAAGTTTACGTTTACTGCTTGAGTTGTTTTTCATTGGACTTTGAAAGAACACTTTTTGCCTTATTTTTCTTAGTATGGTTGCCCTAAGAGCATCTCCAGCGCGCAAGGCCAACTCAGGCAGAGGTAGCCCAAGGTCTAGAATCCAACTCCACCGTGCCAAGTCCAGTTCAGGCTGCTGCCTGTGCTAAATGACACAATGCTGATGTCATAATGACATTAGCAACTAAAACAAATTGAAAAAAAAAAAAACCCAAAATTTCAGAATTTTTTAATTATAAATACTTAGCCATATTCTTTACTTCTCACACCAAAAACTCTATACAAATTCATCTCCTCATATCTCATGTGAATAGTAATTACTCTTGTCCTAACCCATAGGGGTGGAAACAAAATTGCAAGGGCTGCCACTATTCATGTGAATAGTGACAGCCATTGCCTTGCCTTTGCCCATAAGGGTGGAAGTGCTCTAATATTTACGAGCTAAACCCTAAGCAAAGTAAGTGTAGACTGCAAATGTTTGTTAACGAGACTTTAACAATTTAATTTTAAACAAATTAATATGACTTGGTCGAATAACGTATAGAAGTGTTTTCAAATGAATGATGGGATCACGTAGTTAAAGTTGGAAGATATCTCGAGTTCGAGTCTTCTTTACCTCATTCATGAAAAGGTAAATGACGGGTAATAAGATAAGGAGATATTTAGTCATATAACCATTTTTAGCACAAAAAATATAAATTAAATCCTATAACATTTAATTTTTATAAACAAACCCAAAAAATAACAGCTGGCTCTATTTTATTTAATTTTGATTATTAAATTTCTTTGATGCCCTATTGAGTGTTTTGGGTTTGTTTATGAGGTTTTGGGGTTGGGCTTGTTTTAAGAAATCGATGGCAATTTTGCAATTTATAAGAAGTTAAAAGCCTTTTTGTTATGTTGTAAATGGGGTTTGGGTGTGTTTCTAAAGTCCATTTCATATAGGGTATTTTTATAATTTGTGTCCCTATATTGGGTATAATAGTAAATCTTCCTAAGATAAGTTGAAAACAAAACTACGTGAAAATGACACCTAAATTTACGTATGATGAATGAATCTTTGAGTGTTCACGGGGTTTGGGTGTGTTTCTAAAGTCTATTTCATATAGGGTATTTTTATAATTTGTGTCCCTATATTGGGTATAATAGTAAATCTTCCTAAGATAAGTTGAAAACAAAACTACGTGAAAATGACACCTAAATTTCTGTATGATGAATGAATCTATGAGTGTTCACTATCAAGTTGAAGAAAGTTTGTAGTATGCACATTAAAAAGTTTTTTCAATTAAACTGTACCCATTTATCCATTTCAATAACCTTTTTCCTGTTACCAAATTCCATGTGCCCACCCCACTCTTTCTGCTCTTTGGACAAAAAGAGGCTCAATTCCCAAACCTTAGAAATATACCCTCACTAGATAGATGGTGCAAGGTGGGGGTCGCCATTGGAGTAATAGAGAGGGAGAGAGAAAGAGGAAAGAGAAGATCTTTTGGCGGTGAGGAAGAAGCATTTTTGCTCGTCACACTAACCCAATATAGCCATTCTTTTCAATAATTAACACATGTCTTAAGTTAAAAGTGCTCTTAATGGTTTGGCACACATCAAAAAGTTAGAAAAGAAACAGAGTGGGCACAAGTCATTTGATAATAGAAAAATTGAACTCCCTGCGAATCGCGGCCTTTGAAAATTGCAATATTAATGCTTCTCAGTATTGTCAGCCTTATGAATGTGACTAGAGGGAGACCCCTATTTCTCTAGTATTATGGCCCTGCAACTATGACACTAGTTGGTTCATTGAATACGAAATGCAGGATAGCCGCCGCTAACTAAATTCACACTATTAACAGGGAGATAAACGTTTTTGGAGTGGCTGAACACAATAACCATTGCACATCATTCGAAGCAAAATATAATAGAGGGAACATCAACCCCAAAAAGAAGGAATATGAATGTTTTTAAGCTTATAATATGAACATGTCTTACATGATATACATTCATTGCTTTTCTTTTTTCTTTAAAAAAAAAAACAAAGAGGAATTCATTGATAACAATTAAGAGGATGCATACAACAATATCATCTCGTACAATTGGCTCCAGCCAAAGGGGAACATCTTCAATCCAAGTTGCAATAGAATTACAATTAAGTGCTAGAAGATGAGCTACTTGATTGCACCTCCTTAGACTGAATAAAACAGTAATTAACATCATCAAATTGTTGTAGACTCCTCTTATTATCATCAATGAGATGCCCATCTAATGCCAATGACTCTTCCTCACCATTCTTCAAGTCATTTACCACTACTTGCAAACATTGGCGGACCCAATGAAGGACAACTGTGGGCACTTGCCCACACTTACAAAAAAGTTGCAGCTATATAATCCCACCCAACTCATATTTTTTAATTTTTTTAGGTCTTTCTTAGGTGGAGCCCCCACATGGCCCATCAAATACATACACTTTAAACCTAAAGTTTATATTAAAAAGGAAAAACCTTATGTTATAAAAAAAGAATAGAGATCCCATCAAGTACACTCATTCTGTAATTTTGTGGAGAACTTAGTCACCAAGTTTACTTTAAACCCAAATATTTTTTGTTTGACTATATATCAAATGGCTTATCAATATTTGTTTCAACCCATAAATAGTCAAAATAATAATGGGCATCAAAATCAAAACATCTTTTTTATATATATTGAAATTATAGGATTGCATTCTTAATTCAGCCAAAAAAGCTACTAGCCACAAAAGGACATTACAATAACGGAGCTGTCTAACATCAAAATTAAGACAATCTGGTGCGCTTCCATTAACGATCACTCTAGATCGAATAAACTCTGGCATAGGCATCCCAACTAAGATTGCTTACTCAAAATAACCAAAAAAATATAAAGCTTGAAAAACCAAGCCATAACAATACAAATATAACTCTCACAAATGAGAGATGAAAGTGAAAACTACACAGAGAACCCATGGAGTCTCTATGACTTATTCCAAACATAAAGAAATCGCAAAAAGAATGGTGGTGGAGATCGAACGCCGAAACGCAGGTGGAGATCTGACGACGAGACGCAGCCGCATGTGACGGTTGGAAGAAAATCATAACAAAACGAAGACAAATAGGGAAAAAATTTTATCTTTGAAAATGAGGGGAGAAGAGAGGGAGGAAGAACAGTGGCTTCCTCCCCCTCAAAGTGAAAACGACTCTATTTTTTGAGAGCAAACTCAAAACATATCTAATGATAGCATAAATGTTGCATTCCTAAGAGGACACAAATTAATGTGCAAACAACCAATTAAAAATACCCGCAAGTGCACGAATCTGTTGAAGTATAGATTATGTAAGTACGGGGTCGATCCCACGAAGAACTTGTCGGCTTCCTATAAGTTCTAATTTGAGTACGTAAAGAACACTTAATTGACACACCACAAATGCACAAATGCAAAATGGAAACTAAAAATGAGTAAAGAAGTGTAAAAGAAATGAAACAACACAAGAAAACTAAACAAAAACACAAACAGCATTTTCTATCACCCTTTTATCACCCATTTATCACCTATGAACAGTGCTAAAGCGACCGGTCGTCAGGTAAAAGCGACCGGTCGTTTTTGGGCAGATTCGTTTTCTCTGTTTTTCAGTTTCGACCTCTGTCCAGTGTTTTGCCTATAACTTTCCAACCGTACGTCCAAAATTCACGTTCTTTATACGGTTGGATTCAGCACACAAAAACGAAGAACACATCGCGGACCAAAAGTCCAAAACAGTTACGAAAATAAACAGAATTCAGTAAACAAGACACACAACGTATCAAACACACAACTCACACACACATTGGGGGGGAGGGGTTTTGGTTTGGTTCAAGTGACCTATTTCTATTGCATGAAAGTAAATGGACTTTGAATTTAAATGAGAAAGGCAGAGATGAATTATCGAATTGTGAAATTAAAATGTAACAAACACTAGGGTTTCGGAATCCACCCTAAACAATTCTACCCAAGTTCATGAATACTCAAGTAATGAACTCTAAACGTGTTGATGAAGATGTTCGCAATCAAGACCATGGGTCGTAGCTCAAGACGCATTGATTCTCTCTAATATACGTAAAGTGCATGGTTCGTGCTACAATACTTGTGCCCTCCCCATAACCGAACCTAGGTATGGTTCGTACTTCGATTCAATTACAAGGAGAACCCATTAAGTTCAAAGAGAATATGAACATCACAAGAATCCTAATAGCATGGTGTTTACATTAGGGATTCAAGAAACCAATTCACATGGATGATTCTTACTTCATCCATTTATTGCTTAGGATAACATGAAGATACACATAATCCCAACAATCTCAAGAAGCATGCTTTCAAAGATGGCCAACCAAGGAAAAACACACATCAAGGAAAGATTAATTTGGTGAATTGGAATTCATCAACAATATCTAGAAATTCATACACTCAAGCATCAAAACAAAAAGGTAATCATGTTTAGGGCTTCAACCTAAGCCCTAGCTAAATAAGAAGTTACATTGAAACTAAGAAATTACAAGAAACAAATAAAATGAAAGAAACTAAGAACAAAGAGGAGAAAGAGAATGCATCTTCAACCCCTTGGATCCTTGCCTCAAGGCTCCCCAAGGTTCTCTCTAATTGTTATGCCATTCTTATCCATTTTAATAATTAATTAAATTATATTGCGATTTATGGTATATGTGGAACCGCAACTGCATATTGCGGTCAGTTTTATAAACCGCATGTTGCAATCAGTTTTCATGATAAATCAGTTTAGTTGCGATAAAACCTCAGTTGATATTTGTAACTTTTCGATTTTTCGGTCTAAAATGCCAACCCTAGGAAAAAAAAACATACATGTTTGACAGTGCCACCCTTATCATGCATTTTTAACTACAGATTAAATACTATCAATTATCAAAAGCATGTAAACTTTTGGTATTCCATTGTATATTTGAGAAGAGTGCTTTTGGCTCTGAAGTACATCCTTCATTGATGTACTTCACACCTAAAATTCCAAGCCTCATTTGGAGAAATTTTTAGGAAGAAATTTTTTAAACTATAAATTTAGTGTCATTTAAATGTAACATGTCTCATTTTGTGTCCCTCATGTGTCCCCATTTTGTTTCATAAATGCATACCAATCTCACAATTAGTAATTTAGTATTATGATCATGGTATATTTTTAAATATATTTATTTTGAGTACAATAAATTAGGGGAGGGGGTTTATACAAATATTCATTGGATGTTTGGAGGTTTTGAACCTCTGCACACATGAGTAGAGTGGAGGTGTAAGAGCTCAACCAACTAAGTTATACCCTACTAGCATATTAAATATAATTTTTTGAAGAGAGAGATAAGGGTCTCAATTTCCATCCATAGAAAGATACATAAATTTGGCAAAAGAGAAGAAGAAGAAAGATAACAAATAATAGAAAATAGGAAAAAGTGATTGATTGGCAATCATCCACTTAAGGGTCAAATGCTCCTGGAGATGAGCACCCTATCAATCTATTCTTGAAAATGGAACAATATGCACTACAAGGAAAAAACAAACCAGAATTATTTGAAGTGAGATATCCATGAATGTTGAAAAGCTCGTGAATATTGCTGTTTTTGATGGATGACTCTCAGTGATTCTGTGTGCGCCCATTTGGTCAAAGATAAGAACTTCCTTTCAACTCAATAATTTTTTTTAATGTCTTTCACATGTAGGTAGCGTGAGTTTGTACCAAAGTAGGGCATTAAAATAATTAGTTTGTTTGATTGAAATCTTCTGAAATGAGGCATGATGGTCTTGAGTTGTTCACGCCTTGGTGGGTGAAGTCGCACAAAACACACTCTTTATCCTCAGATTAGTAGGGTCCCCCAACCACAAAGGGTGAGTGGCAAACTTTTAGTTTCAAATCACACTATAACATTCATTTTCAACAAAAAGAACCATGTGAGCTCACTACGAGAAACTGTTGTTAAAGAAGTTTGTAATTGCAGCACGATAAGAAACTGTTTCTGACAATGGCTATCTATCTATATCAAAGGTTCATGCAAATTCTGACCTTTTAAATTTTGGTCTGATCAGCCTTGGTGAATGTGAATGGAGGGAACTTCCATTTATCTGGTATTTTGGAGAAAAACTTAGTTGTAATGGGGATAACTTTGTTTTTCTATCTCCGATTAATAATGATATGTCATGTGGAACTGTTATCACACATGTCATAGCATTATTGAACGGGGATAGCAAAGTAGTGTTATACCTGTGACATGGAAGTCTTTCTTGGTATTTGGGGTCCTACATGAAACTAGGACACTTGTAGCATATGGGTTCATTCAATACATGGGCCACCACATCGACAGAAAAACAAACATTTTTTTAATTATTTTTGGAGTGATGGCTTGGATGATTTACAATGTTAATCTAGAATCTAGAATATAATTCTACAACTTTAGTTCTTAGATATAGTTTAGTAAGTTGTTCAATATTCAATCTTCATGGCTTCCTTTCGGCCTATTTTGTTTGGGAAAAGGTGTTAAGGGTCAAATCTCAAATATACATAAAAAGGTCTTATCATGACCAATTGGGTAAACTGAAGAAGAATAGTTATCTCTTGGGCCGGTTAAAGGGTTATTCTCAAGCCACTAGGTTTTATTCTTAGCGTTGACAAAAGGATCTATCAAGTTTATATACTCAAGGAGAATATGGACGTTCTGGTCAAGAGAAAGAGTTACTGTGGGGATTTGTATTCCCTTCAACATAAAAGTGAGCAAATAAAAGACATGTGGGGATTTGTTTTGCAAGATTTAGCATAAAATTGAGCTGGCTTTGCTCTTTCTTCATGCAATATTAATTGCAGACATTAAATGGCTGCTAATATTTGTTTTAGTCCATTCCACGTTACCGGCCTTTGTGTGTTGGGATTTGGTAAAGCAAAGCAATGGATTAATACATAACATCTTTTGAAACTGAGTCAAATAACCATTAATGTCAGTCAACCGTTTTGAACTCATTAAAGAGAGTTAAGTGTAATTTCCTTTTGAAAGTCTACCAAGGAGTGTAAATAACACGGTCGGTGTTATCTACACTCCTTTATAAAGGAGTGCAGGAATACAAGTGAAGAGCTAAAATAACATTTCATGTAATTTTTTATTTTATTTTTTTTCACATTTTTAAAATGACAGTATTATTTATATTCTTTCATAAGAGTGTACGAATACAAGTGAAGAGCGCGAATAAAGTTTCCTCCTATAACTCAAAGGCGGTAGTATTGAATTGATAAATAGGGATGCAACAGGTAATCCAATACTATTGCCTTTGTGTCATAAACTTACCCCATATCACTAAAAACAAAAAAGAGAGAGAGAAAACAAAAAAAGGGGAAAGAATCATTTTACACACCCATTGATTCTGTACATGCACAGAAGCATCAAACAAGCTTAAAAACCCTCAAACGGAACTCCAAACTTCACCAGCTCATATACACACCTACCTAGTAGTGAGCATTGTCTCAAAAATTCAATGTCTCCCCTCTTTTCACTCTTCCTCCTCCACATAATAGTCAGCGCAGCCGGTGCACAACTCCAGCCTCATTACTACTCAAAATCGTGCCCAAAAGCCGAAGCTGTGGTCCGACAGGTCATGAAGAAGGCTCTGATCCGAGAGCCCCGGAGCCTTGCTTCTGTCATGCGCTTCCAATTCCATGATTGCTTTGTTAATGTAAGTGAACTATATATAAAAATTACAATCCTGCGTTTCCTTATAAGCTTTTCTTCAACAACTAATTAATTGGTTCCCTCTTTGGTTAAAAAAAATCTATAGGGTTGTGATGCTTCATTGTTGCTTGATGACACACCAACAATGCTTGGGGAAAAACTCGCCCTTGCAAACATAAATTCACTGAGATCTTATGAGGTTGTTGATGAAGTCAAGGAAGCCTTGGAGAAGGTCTGCCCTGGGATTGTCTCTTGTGCAGATATCATCATCATGGCCTCTAAAGATGCTGTTGCATTGGTATGAAACTCTCTTCTCTATATCGTTACTTCGATCTTCTTTTAGTGGAATTTCTCTTCCTAATATTCGAAGAGATCCGAATTCGAACCCCCCTCTGTTGATATAAAATGAAAAAAAAAGTGATGAATAATAATCAACATGGGCTTGGTTTGAGTGCAAAGTGTATAGTTCTTTTCTGCTTATGGTTTGTCCATAATTAAAAAAATTAGTGTTAATCAGACAGGAGGACCTGATTGGAAAGTGAAGTTAGGCAGATTGGATAGCTTAAGCGCCAGCCAAGAAGCCTCAGACAACGTTATGCCAAGTCCAAGAGCCAACGCAAGCTTCCTCATTGACCTGTTTGGCAAATTCAATCTGTCTGTCAAAGACCTTGTTGCCCTTTCTGGTTCACATTCCATCGGCCAAGCTCGGTGCTTCTCCATCATGTTCAGGCTGTACAACCAATCTGGCACCGGCCGGCCAGACCCTGTCATTGATCCAAAGTTTAGAGGAAAGCTAAACAAGCTCTGCCCTTTGAATGTGGATCAAAACGTGACCGGAGACCTTGACGCTACACCGGTAGTGTTCGATAACCAGTACTTCAAGGACTTGGTTGCGGGAAGAGGGTTTCTGAATTCAGATCAAACACTTTTCACATTTCCAGAGACTAGGGCATTTGTTCAACTGTTTAGCAGGGACCAACATGAGTTTTTCAAGGCCTTTGTTGAGGGGATGATAAAGATGGGTGACTTGCAGGTTGAGCAGCAAGGTGAGGTGAGAAGAAATTGCAGGGTGGTTAACAGCGGTCTTCCTGTAACCCCACGTACCTGACTTGAGAGGGCATGGTGATGTTAGAATAAACACCCATCAATGGAATTGACTATATTTTATCTTTATCGTCACTTTTTTCTTCTTCTTTTTTTTTTTTTTTCTTTTTTTTTGGGGTGGTTGATTAATTATGAATCCTTAAAACTTTTTTGTTTTTGCTGATCAGGGCCAATCCATCTAATTTTTCTGTACTCTTGGTTTATTGTTCATGCCGGCTTTTCAAAAGGTTAATTCCAAAACCAATGCGTTCATCTAAAATTCAAACCAATGTTACTTAATTGAATTTTCAACATTGCACATCATTTAGTATGGAATTCCGAAGTTTCCGAGTCTCTGCATTTATCATAGGTGCATTTATTAACCTCAAACTCACTCACCATTTGCACCTTAGCCAATACTTATGAAATAAAAAATAAATAAATAAAAGTTCCAACAAGCGACAGCTACCTCCCTCCCTACCCAGCCCCTCACAGCCAGCCACGGCCGCCGCTCACTAGGTCCCATAATTGGTAGGCATATATAAGATATCAATTGCAGTACTTGTGGAGAATTATTCGTGATCAAGATTTGATAAAATTATTCCCTAGTTGTAGAACTGGATTATCACTAGAGGTTGGTTCTGGAGTCAGGAGAGATTCCTAGCAATGAAGGACTTCAATCCGTAGGCCTTGTTGAGAGTCAGTGATCCAAAACTAAGAGAGATAGAATAGAACCATGGGTGGCTGGCAGTGGGGTAGGTAAGGAGAGGTAAGGGGGCTGGGTCGGGTGGGGTGTTCATGTTTGATGAGACATTTTTTATTTATTTATATTTCAAAAGTTGGATACAGAGAGTAAGGTGCAAATTGTGAGTTTTATTTATGTTAGTACAATAATGCTAACTAGCCCCTTGGCACGCATGTCCCAAGTGGTTTTATTTTTTAATTTTATTTTTATTTTTAGAATTAAGAAAAGATAACATGGGTAATTATGTTCTATAAAAGTAGGACCTATTATTTGATTTTGTTTTTAATTTTAATTTTTTTTAATATGAAAAAATTATAAATTTATCATATTATCCTCATTTAATTAATCATTTCAATTCTTAATGTTTGAATTAACTAAGAGCATTTTCTAGTATTTTGAATATTTCACCATTCTTTGCCTTTTTCTTTATATATATAGGTGTGGACTAATTAGAATTCATTAGATTAATCTAATGGTTAGTATTAGTTCAAATGTGTAAAACTGCGCCGATGCTAAATACAAAGGCTCGGATCTTTCAAGATGGTGTAGTATGCTATAAATTTTGGCTTCTCTCATCATACGAAATTGAGAATAGGGGAGAATTGCAGAACAGGGAGAGAAAGGGAGAGAAGGTATACCACCAATAAATTCCAACATTAAATGCGCAAACAAAATTTGAAATGTCAACCACTTAACATGCTCGACATCCATAATAAAATCACGAAGGCTCAAGTAAGCAATCAAAAATACATTAAACTATCTATGATGCTCATTCGCTCACTAACTCATTGACTAAAAGATCAAAATTTGTTCCAGAGACCTAAGCAGCAGATGGCTTAGAAGCACCAGAAAGTCTCGATCTCCTCTTGGCTAAGCTCTCACTGCGTCGATCACGCTGCTCCTTCAACCTGGAAGCAAGGAGCTTTTGATACTCTGCTGCCTCAGACTTCGCCTTTGCAACTCTCTTCTTCTTCTCTGCGATCCTTGCTCGCTTCCTCTGTAAAGTCAATGGAGTAACCAGTCTCTGAATTTTGGGAGCTTTGCTGCACTTTTTGCCTGCAAACCATTAAATTGAGTATTTTATCTCAAGGGCAGAGACTCGCAACAAACATAAACGGAAATTTTATCACTGCATGGTGACTAATATTCTAGCAGAGTATCTTTTTCATATTTCTGTTGTGTGAAAACAAAATTTATAGACCGAAAATATAACCCACCAGTTTTGCTTGTGAATGTTCTGCGGTAGGTGTTGACATACTTCCTCACATCATCATCCTTGGTGAGGTTAAATAGTTTCCGGATCTTTGATGCCCTCTTTGGACCTCTCATTCTTGGCTTTTCAACATCAGTCAGTCCAGGAAGGTCATTGTCACCTTTCTTAACAATAACCAAGTTCAATACAGAGAGGTCTGGACTGACAATACATCCACGAACAGACTTCCTTCTTCGCTCTCCATTCCTCCTTCCGTATCCACGGAAGCACGGGGTACCTAAATAAACAATATGCATCAATCAGTTTCATTGCCCAAAAGTGTTGAGCCAAGAGAAATCTAATATTAGGTACTACAACATGAACTCAAAATCAATTGCTGGTCTCTCTCATACACAAATTGGTACATTATAACATACCTCTATGGAGCAAAAGGCGAACACGGCCTGGGGTTAACACTCCTTGCTTCATAGGAAAGCCTTGCTTGTCACAGCCTCCCATAATTTTAAATAGATAGCCCTTGAACTCCTGTAAAAGAAGGAAAAAAACTGTAATGAGTACTCTATTGTAAGATAACTAAAACATCAAATCTCGCAAACGATAAATACCTCGCCCAGGGCATCACCATTGACTTCTTGAGAGATCCTCTTGTCCCAGAATGCACGACTACATGTCAAAGAGTTTAGTGGTCATAATCTAAGATACATTAAATAAAACATTGTTTAGGATACAATCTGTTAATAAAAATTAAAAAAACCTGAGCACAAGATATGTCAAGCTAAAGTCTAGAATGAAATTGGCAAAACCATAAATAGAAACATGTGAACATAATTAACAATACACGATGTGTCTGTCACTGGAAAATGTACTTCCAGCAACTATAAAACACTTTGAAGTCAATTCGCTCTTTATAACCCAAGGGGTCGTTTGGTACGGCGGACTGTCATGGACTGGACTAAATCCTGGGACTGTCTTGGATTAGCTCGGATTGGACTAAGCTGGATTAAGTACTGACCTACGTTTGGTGCTGCGTCGGACTAAGAAGCTGGATTGTAAAAATAGTGAAGACCTATGTTTGGTGCTGTGTCGGACTAAAAAATAATTCTTGTAATATTTAAATTTAATTTGAAATTTTAACCTAAAAATAAATAAATGCTACAAAGAAACACAATTCAAAGATTTAAAACAATAAAACAAATAAAATTATGATTGTTTATGAAGAATAAAATTTTGATATTTTTTTTTTGGCTTCTCAGAGTATTCTTAATTTCCTTGGTATTTACGAAGTAAATATACATCAGGTATAAAAAAAGAATCATATGGCATCACCACAGTACACAAATATTACTTGAAAACCCTAGTCAATAAGCAAAAGGTAAAATGCACATTCAGAACAAATTCTCTGACACAGAGCTGGAATTCCATAAAGAAATATACTGCAGGGCAATCCTTCTACTTATCCATAAGCACATAGTGCAAAAAGTTAACCTTAATAGAAGGCTACATACTAACTAAAATGAATAAAAGAATTGTTACCACAAGTTTACTTATGAGCATGACATTTTGAAGTAAAAATTTAAAATCATTCACTCCATTTGTAATCTTTATTCTCATAAAATGCATCCAAAATTTTCCATCGTTTTCTAAAATACTCAATTCATTTGGTGTAATTGTGGAAATACCAAAAGAAATTCCTTTTTCATCAAGTAATGAAATAAACCCAGAATGCAATTCTATTTCTCACCAACCTCCTAGTCATCAGTTAGATAAAATGATCGTTACTCATACAAAGAAGATGCAATTCATGCCGCCTACATCCATCCACTACATTGCTAACCAAACATATAGCTAAATTGAAAAATAAAACTTCTCCAGTCTCCTCAAGATGAAATGATTGCTATAATCGACAAGCTCACAACCCTAAACTCATAATTCCAGTTTTCGTTTTCTTCTAATAATTTTTCCGCAACCAAACAGACCTCAAGTTCATAAGATCGATCCAAATCTATCAACAACCTCTATTGCCTAACAAATAATGATACTATCCTTTCCCAAAAGTAAGCAAAATACGAAATGGAGGAGAATTAGAGGGAGGGTTTTAGTACAGTTTAGCGTCATCGTCAATCTCGAGCTTCTTCTGGCACCCAGTGGTGGGATTCGCAATGTTAAACTGAAACAACAGAAAGCCGATCGGTGAAAGACTGAAATGCATTAGAATTGGGGATCGGAGAAAGTAAGACGGATATACAAACCTTCATGTTTGCTCCGCTGCCACGGCCAAGATGAGAGAAATGGTCCTCTTGCTAAACCACTCGAATTCAAGGAGTTCCTGGCAGCTTGTTAGGGTTTTGAGGATGAACCTGAGAGGAATTTATATATAGACGAGGCATATGGGACGCGGAATTGGCCCCCAAGCTTGGGATATGGTGAGTTTACACTTGAAAACGTGGATGAGTTCGTTGGGCCCAATCTCCTTAGAGGGAGTACTGGGCTGGGCTTCCAGTTTTTATTATAGAAATTTATGATTTTTCTCTTGATGCACTCTCTTTTTAATCCAGCATATATATATTTGTGGGCTAACTGGACTTCAATTAAATTTTTTTTTTCTCTCTTAAGGCCTTATCCAACCCATTTGGGGCTAAACCCAAATTTCCCCCCTCTAAAAGTAACTATTTGATTTTGCTCGGACTCAAACCGTTTTTTTACTCCAACCCTTCAAACTCAAATTTTAAGTCCGCAACTTTATTAAATTGTTTAATAATTGTTTAAGTTTTTTTTTATATTTTTTTAATGGATAACTTTTCTTCGTTTAATCTTTTTTAAAATTGAAATTCCACAAATATAATTTGTGGTAGATTATTTGAGAAATGGGTGGGTATTTATAGACTTCGGAGTGATTTTTGGGGTTAGATCTGATTTAGATTAATTTAAAATATTATTTTGACCACTAGATCTTTATTATTTTACCATTAAAATAACTTGGATTTAATATAGATCATTGATTTGGGTTACTATTGAAATAATATATATATTTTTAAAAGAAAAAAGGGTGGTTTGAATTGTGACGTTGGATTCCAAAGACTACATCACAGCGCGCGACATGTGGCGCTAAAAGGTCTACAACAGTAGCAGCGCGAGCCCTTTTCACAGTTGCTTGCATATGGTTTGCGTCAGTTTTTAGTGGGCTCCATCAAAAAAATTCCAGTACAGGCAATAGTTGGATTGGTATTTAACCCCAAATTTGAGTTTTCTCAAATTTTGGCCCCTTACTTTTCTTGGGTTGAAAGGAATATTGGGCTAAAATTTGGGATATTTTGGATTTGGCCTCACGAGTTAGAGATGGCCTAATGAATCAGATTAAAACAAAAAAGGTGATTGTGCTAGTTAGAGTGATATATGCTTAAGCAAAAATTCTAAGTTTTCACTCGAGGTCGAAGCACATTCATGTGATGTGTTATATTCCAAAAAACTACACCTTGAGAACATTCTTTTTTTTTTTTTTTTTTTGGATCAAGACACCTTGAGGACATTCATATTGATAACAACAATTCGGATATAGTGACAATCCTTACCTAACGACAAAGTATTAGCTATACATTTTTTTTGGTCAAAAAGTATGAGCTATACATAATGGCAACATGCATGATACCTAAGTTGGGAGGGGGAGACTGGCAGGCTATCCTTGCTTTAGTGGTAGAGAGAGATAAAGACAAAGTTAAAAGGTAAGAAAAACCATAAAATGAGGTGGTTAATGCATGAATGGCTACAAAACCAACGCAAGGATGAACATGGGGTGGAAATGTTTTCTTAGCTCATTGGTGATAATCAAGCAAGTAAGAACAGAGGAAACGAAGAAGAAACTGACAGGTTATGGAATTTTTTTTATTGATTTTCTCTGTTAAACCTTACAATATTAGTTGGCTCAGTATTTATAGAGTTTAGCTTTTAACTGAATACATGAGCTATTAAATGACTTAGGGCTCGTTTGGGAGTGCTTCTTTCCGAATCGCTTATGCTAGTAGCGCTTATGCCAGTAGCACTTATGACATAAGCGCTTCTACAAAGAAGCAGTTTGTCGTTTGGATGTCATTTAAAAGTGTTTTTACACTACATAAAAGCATTTTTTATATTTTGTTGAGTGTTTGGCTAACACAGTAAAAGCGCTTTTAAAAGTACTTTAAAAAAAATTTAAAGAATCCCAAAATATTATAATAAACACAGGAAATAAAAATTCATAAGATCCCAAAATAAAAACATGACTTAAAAAAGTATGAAATTCCCAAAATAAATTCAATTATCACAATGCAGGAGAGGAGGGGCTGCAAGAAATAGATGCATATCCTTAAGAATCTGTCGTATCCACGAAACCTCAGATGCAGAATGAGCCAAAGCCTTATACCCGGCTTATGTAGAACTTTTTGAAACAGAAGTTTGCTTTAGATGACCGTTATCAGGAGGAGAAGGAGAACTCATAGGGAGTATCACTTGTAATTGTGCATCTGTAAGGACAAGCAACATAGTGGAAGGGCAAGGAGGAGTAGCAAATGAAGTAGAATCCTGCAGAGATGTATGTAAAGATGGTGGTATAGATGACCTAAGTGGGATATTAGCAGAAGCCGTGGGTGGAGCAGGGGCTGAAGGTAAAATGACTGGAAGAAGCAAGGGAGAACTAGGCACTGGAGAAGAACTTGAGGTATGGGTTGAGTGCATTAGCTTAAAAGGAAACACAGTCTCATCATGAACAACATGCCTAGACAAAAATAATCTCCCTGAATCTCTGTTATAGCAAATAACTCCCTTATAACCATTAGCATATCCAAGAAATATGCATTGACAAGTCCTAGGTTGCAACTTGTTATCATTATAAGGTCTAAGATATGGAAACACAGCATACCCGAAAACCCGTAGGGACTGTAACTCAGGTGGGTTCTGAAACAATTTTTGATAAGGTGAGCAAAATCCCAAAGTCCTAGAAGGCATTCGATTGATCAAAAAACTAGCATGCAGACAGGCATGTGACCAAAACTGAAGAGGTAAAGCTGCTACAGTTAGTAAGGTAACAGAAGTCTCAATTATATGCCTATTTTTCCTTTCCACTAACCCATTTTGTTGGGGAGTGTAAGGACAAGATGCCTGATGCAATATCCCTTTAGATGTCAAAAACTATTTAAACAAATGACTTTGATATTCTCCTCCCCCATCAATTTGCAAAATCTTAATAGAAGCAGAAAATTGGGTAGAAATAAAGGCATGAAACTTGACAAAAGTAGAGTAAACATCTGATTTATTGATAAGAGGAAACATCCAGATAAATCTGGTACAATCATCAACAAACAGGACAAAATATCTATAATCCTCAATGGATACAACTGGAGATGGACCCCAAATATCACTATGAACTTTATGAAAGGGATGTACTACTCTGTCAGAATTTACAGGAAAAGGAAGCCTAGACATTTTACCACCTAAGCAAGCTGAGCAAATGGATGAAGAATCGGGAGAACATACTATTTGAGAAAAGTGCAACATCTTCACTAGTACTTCATTAGTAGGATGGCCTAGGCGTTGATTCCACGTGATGCGGTTTATTTTCTGACCAAGAAAGGCTGTGGGGGAAGAAACATAAGTGAATGGTAGATATTTAGGAAAATGATAAAGGCCTTTGCTACTCCTTCCCTTGAGAAGAACTGCCCTTGTTGCCTTGTCGTGCACACAAAAACCAACATCATCAAAGGTAACCATGCAGTTATTATCTTGACAGAGCTTGTAGACAGAAAGCAAATAAGTTGATAGTTGTGGAACATGCAGAACATTAGGTAATAATAAAGACTGAGAAGAAGTGATAGGAAGATTGGCATGGCTAATATGTTGAACATGCAAACCTTCCCCGTTACCAACAATTATCTTGTCATCTTGATCATATGGAGTAGCAGTCTTAAGCACAGATAAATTTGGTGTCATGTGATGAGTTGCTCCTGTGTCTGCAATCCAATTGTCTTGAGACTCAAACCCTTGTGCGTGAGCAGTCATAGCCTGGTTCTAACTCTTCTGGTTTCAAGCAACCATGGAGTACATTACGTGTAGCCAAGTTATGTTAAAGATATATTACGTGTAGCCAAGTTGTCTTAAGCTGGTGTGCCAGCTGTCAATGTGTTACGTGAGTTGTTATTAGTCTAAAGCCTCGGTCGATCGCTGTGCCTCTTAACGTGATTTCTTGCTCTTTTCGCTTGCTGTTCTCAGGTCTCTAATTCTTTCTCTCAGTTCTTGGTTCACTGTTTATCTTTAAGAATGGTGAATTTGTGTCTCCTTGGGTAATTTTTCGACATTTGGTGACAGTGATATGAAATTTGTTGCTTATTCTTCGATTTCTCTTGATTCTTGGTGATTGATCTCTAGTGAATTTTGTTGATTTCATGGCACGAAGCCTTCTTTCTTTGGATTTTCTGTGATTTGTTGGCACGAAGCCTTGTGTAACGCATTCTTGTTCAGGCACGAAGCCTTGTAGTGATTTCTTGCATCGATTGTGTTTGATTTTGGGTCGGTGTGTTTTTCTGTGAATTCTTCTTTGAATCTGGTCATGACGGTGAATTCGCCCAAAATTGAGGGTTTGCTGGGGATGCTTACCATTCGCTTGAATGATGATAATTTCGTAAAGTGGTCCTTTCAATTTCAATCAGTTTTGCAAGGTTATGATCTTTTTGACCACTTTGATGGCTCCTTTGTTTGTCCACCGAAGTTTGTCATTGATATTGAGCTCGGTGTCACTACTGAGGTCACTGATGCTTATAAGAGTTGGATTCTGCTAAAACATAGAGAATATTGAGAGTAGAGAGTGGAAAGTGTAGAGAGAATGAGAGTTGTAGAATATTTTTTTTCGCTTGCTGTTCTCAGGTCTCTGATTCTTTCTCTCAGTTCTTGGTTCACTGTTTATCTTTAAGAATGGTGAATTTGTGTCTCCTTGGGTAATTTTTCGACATTTGGTGACAGTGATATGAAATTTGTTGCTTATTCTTCGATTTCTCTTGATTCTTGGTGATTGATCTCTAGTGAATTTTGTTGATTTCATGGCACGAAGCCTTCTTTCTTTGGATTTTCTGTGATTTGTTGGCACGAAGCCTTGTGTAACGCATTCTTGTTCAGGCACGAAGCCTTGTAGTGATTTCTTGCATCGATTGTGTTTGATTTTGGCTCGGTGTGTTTTTCTGTGAATTCTTCTTTGAATCTGGTCATGACGGTGAATTCAACCAAAATTGAGGGTTTGCTGGGGATGCTTACCATTCGCTTGAATGATGATAATTTTGTCAAGTGGTCCTTTCAATTTCAATCAGTTTTGCAAGGTTATGATCTTTTTGACCACTTTGATGGCTCCTTTGTTTGTCCACCGAAGTTTGTCATTGATATTGAGCTCGGTGTCACTACTGAGGCCACTGATGCTTATAAGAGTTGGATTCAGACTGATAAGGCTCTTTTGAGTCTCTTACTTGCTACCTTATTTGATGATGCGATTGAGTATGTCGTTGGTAGTAAGACCTCTACTGAGGCTTGGACTCATCTGCAAGATTGATATGCCACAGTGTCTCGGTCGCGTGTTAATCATCTTAAAACTGAGTTTCATACTATGCACAGAGGTGCTGATTCTATTGAAAAGTATTTGCTTCGGATTAAGATAGCTCATGACCAGTTAGTTGCGGCTGGAGAACGTATTACTGATGATGATGTGGTGATCACTGCTCTTAATGGTCTTCCTCAAGACTATGACATGATTCGCATTGTGTTGCTTGCTTGTGATTCCACCATTGGTCTCAAAGATCTTCGAGCTCAATTACTTAATGCAGAGAGACAAGTTGAAATTCGTATGCATGCTCTTTCTCATTCTATGAGTGCCATGATGGCTACGCGTGCTTCTTCTTAGCCTAATTCTGGTGGTTATAATTCGGGTGGTGCAAAACTCTTTTCTCAAGGTTCCAGCTCAACTCAGGGTTCCAGCTCCAGACCTTATAATGGTTACAATGGTCCCCAGTTTCGGATTCATGGTCCCCAGTTTCGATCTTCTCCTCAGTCTGGCCGGTTCAAGTCACCTGGATATCATGGTTCTCGATTTTATTCCGACAAACCTGGCTCTGATACCATGATAACCAAGCAAGTAAGAACAGAGGAAACAAAGAAGAAACAGAAAGGTTCTGGAATTTCTTTATTGATTTTCTCTGTTAAACCTTACAATATTAGCTGGCTCAGTATTTATAGAGTTTAGCTTTTAACTGAATACATGAGCTGTCAAATGACTTAGGCTCTAAACTAATAACAACTCACGTAACTAATTGACAGCTGGCACACCAGCTTAAGACAACTTGGCTACACGTTATTTATCTCTAACAATTGGGACCTATAAAAGCCACTGTTTGCATTTCAAAATCATTCATTAGAAAAGCAAATTAGAGAGAATTTGACAAGACAAAACCTCTTCTTCTTTTTTTCTTTTTTTTTTGTATCTTTATGTTCGGCCCTTGTGCTTTATTTGTCGGTGATGAGCTACATTTAGTTTGGATTTCTACTTTTTGTAATGCTTCCCTCTCTTCATTTGTGTTTATTGATGTAGGCAAAGTTTAGCCTCACATTGTTTGTTTGCCTGTTTTAATTGCACAATGGTAGAAAAAGCTTGGTTCAGGGACAATTAGAGCTATTTTTCTCAACGACATATTGCAACAAAATCCTTCAAATTCGAGATAAAACTAAACTGAATTTCAGAAAAGATAAATTTTAGAGGGAAATTTCGGGAGAATGATTTGATTGAAGAATCAACAAAAACTCGTATGTGAACATGGCTCAGACCAAGTCACCTTAAGAGACTTGTTATTCACTAACCCAAAAGAAATTGAGCAAACAATTACATTATCTTGTTAGAAGACACTAAAACAAGTAATTTTTCAAAATAAAATACCACTCAACTCTGACCTATCCTTGATATTTTGAATTAAGTATTAGATTATCCAACAGCAGACATTTATTGTGGAGGTTGTGAACTTAAATAATTAAAAATAATATTAGTGCCAATTAATTAATTGTGCACCTTCTATGAGCATTCTTCGATTTGCACGAGCAACTAACCATTGGACTTGCAATGCTAAATATGAACATATGATGCTGTCCACTAAGAAGATATCACAAAGATTGATATTATATGTATCCTTTCTGTAGTCTTATTAATATTATATTTACATTATCGTCCTAATCTTTTGCAGTTATTTTTATTTTTATTTTATTTTTATGTGGAAAAAGAAAATTACAAGAGAAACCCTCTCGGGCACGGAGGCCCTAAAAGGTTAAAATTAAAGGAGCTTGCAACAAACAAAAGAACCCCATTTCCCCACAGACGGGAAGGGTTGAGAGACATGACCTAAACTAGCTACCGAATCCGCCATAAAGATTGATACATATAATATCAATCTTTTGCAGTTAAATTGGATCAGGTTGATGGGATTATACTAATATTCAAAATGTGCAGTTTTGCGATTGAGAAAGATTTATCTTAATCAGGTAGGATTATAAAAAGAAGCTGAACATTATGAGAATTTTGCAAATTACAAATATGAGAAGCAACAGCCAATAAAAACCCTATAATGGAAATAACGCCACTTCACACACAGACTAAGACAGCAAGCTTCCAAGCAAAGGAAAATAACCATCACTCTTTAAAAGAGAGAGTTTGATTCCCCAACATCACACGAAAAAGAAGAAGAACAAAAAAGCCTCATCTCCAACTGCTTTTTGGAAATGCCATTTGGCCTGCAGCTGCAAAGTGCAAAGCTGTACGTGATATGAACTTGGCACTCACAATGCACAAACAAAATCACCACTTGTCTCTATGTCATCTATGTCGGCATCATCTATCTCATCAAGATCCATACTTCCCAGTAAAAGCCCACCAATTTTGGCACCGTTTGCAGCTTTCCGAGCTTCTTGAATTATTGCTAAAATCTCTTCAATGCTCTGGGATGATTGTTGTTCATGGTTTTGATTACTGCTTTGCAGGTTGTTTTCTTCCATGAATTCTACTGGTATATTTTTCAGAAACCAGGGGTGCTGCTTTATTTCTGGGATGGTTATTCTCTGCATCAAATTTAACGACTGAAAATCACTCACACGTACACATCGATAGCTACTGTCACCGAATCAAAATAAGGACTTAAAGTATAAACAGTCAAAAGACTCAAGAAAAAAAAAGAAGTATAAACACTCAAAAAAGTGAAAAATGGTTTTCGTTCTAGGCACGGTTGTCAGCTGTCTACATATATGGACGACTATTGTCAAAGAATCAAAATAAAGTGTAAAAGTATAAAAACTCAAAAAAGTGAAAAAGGGTTTTCTTTCTAAGCATGGACCATCAACGACTAGCAATCAGTCATGCGTGCAACGAGTGCTGTAACTATAAGGAATTATACCTTTTCGGGGTTAGCAACGAAAATTCGAGAAAGGAGATGTCTACATTCCATGGAAACACGTACATAGTCAGGAATGGAGTAGTGGACACTAAGAATCCGCTGAAATAAGGCATTAGCAAATTGTAGTGTTAGGCCACAACATTAAAAGGCATAGCAAGAGGCAAAACTAAAATGGTACAAATACCACAATGATACATAACCTGAAGTGTTTTTCTGAAGTTTCTCGGATCTTCTGGATCTTCAAAGGGATAAGCACCCACAAGCATCACATACAGAGTAACCCCACATGACCAAACATCCGCAATCTGAGATTCTCAGAGAATAAAAAAAGAGTGAAGACATGATGTTAGGTGACCAAACAGTTGGCCCCAAAATGACAAGGACAAGACCAAAAATGGAACATGAAAAACAGGCCAACAAAGATTAGTAAACTTACCTTCCCATCATACTCTTTTCTTGACAGGACCTCTGGTGCAATGTAGGCCGGTGTTCCAACAGTTGATTTGGGTTGGGAATGCAACACAGATGACTATAAGATGCAACAAAAAAGAAATTAAGTAATTGAAATTGAATTAACACACTGAAAAATGAAAACTGAAACAGTTATCAAACGGGCCTGAATGTACTGGAAATGGAGTAGTTAATTGCCTTGGAATAACCAAAATCGCAAATTTTGAGACGCGGTGCTGAGCTTCCATCTAGAAGTGTGTTCTCCAATTTAAGATCTCTGTGGCAAATTTGCTGCAATAGAAAACATACAAAATCAGTAAGGGATGGATGGAAGGTCAAGATTGGAGATATTTACAACAAAGAAAACTTTAATTATGATTTTGATAGGTTGAGGTTTTTACCATTGAATGGCAATAACTGACTCCTGAAATCAGCTGTTGAAAGAAATATCTTGCCTATAGATACCCATGTAAAGTATCAGGAAATCAAGGAAAAAGAACCCAAAACAGCTACTAAAATATCTAATCATTTGTAGCTGAAGAAAGTATATATATATATAAGCTGGGTATTCTTTTAGCATTGAATTTGTTCTAATTTTTACCTCGTCCTCACTGAATCTACCAGCAGTGCATATTCTTTCAAAAAGTTCTCCTCCAGCTGCATATTATGTCGTGCAATTTGATGGTAGGCCCCACACATTTCTTTTTGGGATGTGGCCTGAATTTCATCATTCTTGGAATTTGAAACAACGCAAACAGATTGCATACAACAAAAATAGAGTGCTTTATTTTCATTTCTCCACTCACGTTATGTTTAAAATTTTAAATACAAATTTAACTCTTTGGAAAATGACTTTTAAACCCCTCAATCTCATATTTAAGGTTTTAACACATGTTCACTATTTTTTTTCCAGGAAGAAAGAAGAGTCTTTTTTTTTTTTTTTGGTCAAGTAATTCATTCCATAAATATGAAAGGGATTACACGGTCAGAAAAAGAAAAGAAAAAACAAGCCCA